CACTCGCTATTATTTTAAAAAATAAAAGGGCTACCAAGCCAATTTTTTTAGCGTAAGTGTATTGCACTATTCCTACATTACCGACGTAGTTTGGTAGAATTATAGGTTATGTATAATTATTTATTGATCAGAAAGTGTTTCGGAGCCTCAAAAGTAATTTTTCTCCGGCGCAGAACTGTTTTTCTTCCAAGTACATTTTCGATCAAAGAAGTATAAAGGTAAGTTATTATTGTTGAGAAATGTTTGGCGAACACGAGATGGTAGGTTGTGTAACAGCTGATTCGAGTTTCGATTTGTTATTCATGTTTTTATCAAAAAATATCGCGTGGGGCATTGTCGTCACTCAACGGGTGGGGCAAAGTCGTCACTGTATTATCTCAGACGGAAATACAAACTCGTATCAATTTATTATTGTTTTGTGATTGTTTATGTAAAGTATTAAATATAAAATATAATTTCTCCAAAATGTTCTTCAAACAAAAATAAAATTCTAAAAAGAGGTTGCCCAAAGAAAAATCTTTAAGAAATTCTGATTTTTGCTTTCTATCCTTCACTAAGATCTGAATGTGTCAAATTTTTGCAAAAAATAGGTATAGTGTTCCACTTTTTTATATTTATGAATATCAATAAATGTGTGTTTGACAAGTTGAAATAGTTTTGTGCACATGGGTACCTATATTTGCATTCATTATTCTATGTGACGACTTTGCCCCAGGGGGGTGACGACTTTGCCCCACGATTTTTCAATTTTCCAATTTTGTCTTCTTTCAGATAACAGTTTCGTATTAATAAACAAATGAGAGGATGTCCGAAATACTTACTGCATTTTATAGCCAGATCTTTTCCGAATCCAACCATGTATATTACATGATAAAAATAAGTTATTTTATCAACAAATTTCGCAATTAAAAAAAAAGTGACGACAATGCCCCACTCTCCCCTACCCTAAAAGTCAGACGAACACATTAACATACATACTATTTGTGGGATTTCATGGGAGCACAACTAAAACTTTAACTAAACATGAAAAAGACGTTTACAAAATAGTCAAAAAGGGTTAATCGATCTAAAATACACAAATAAAATTTAATTAGTCAGATAAATTTCATAAAACCAATTTTTTAAAGTTAGTACCTTAGATTTTAAAATGCATTTTAAGTAGTTAAATTTGGTGAATTTTTGCGAACGTCCGATCACTTTGAACTTTACTTTTGTTTTGACGAAAAGCACTAAAACGCAGCTGCAGCAGCAAAATTGAAGACGTGTTCTCACTTTGCATTCAATTTTTCGAACGTCCCGTTAGATTTCCGGAAAAAACTAGCTTGCAATGACAAAATATGGACTATTTAGAGACAAATTCTTTACATTTTGACTAATTATTTTTAAGTCGATTTTTCGATTTATGTCGATTTTTCGATTTATGGCCTACGGGCGCAACCACTGTGCATTGACGGTTATCGAGTCTCATCAATACTGGCTCGTACGGCTTCGATATTTTCATTAGAACGTCTTGTTCGTTGCCTGGATACATGACTGGCATTACTTAGATTACCGGTGTTTACAAATTTTGCGTACAAAGACTTAATTGTTTTTAACTGGAGCACTTTTAACTTTATTCATTTTACGAAACGCACGTTGGGTTAACACAATTGAGAATTTATTTTCAATGTAGAGCTGAACAATTTGAGCGCGTTCCTTTGGAGTGTATTGTTCCATGGTATCAATTGTCTTCGACTGACGCTTCCAACGTGGTATGACATTTGACGATCTGTCGACGCTGTCAAAAGTTACAGGGTTGCCAAATGGGTCAAATTTAAATGGCCCACCCTGTAGAAACACTGAATTGCTGAATGTGGACAAGGGCAACTCTGATACTTGGTTAAACCACGATTTTCAAACACAACAAAAACCACATAAGGACGAACTGAATGAATTTAGCATGGACAACTTTGAAGTGGATTTGACATAAATTTCAAATCAAGATTGCTGCCAAACTAGAAAATATATCAAACAAATTTAAACGCAGTAATTCAAATAAACTCTTTATTAACTAATATGACAAAGAAAAATTTACTAATCTACAAAAACAGAACAACTTTTCATATAAAAATAAAAAAACAAGGCACTTCTGGCAAAGCTTATAAGCTGGAATAAGCTGGAAGCTTATTTCGTGCAAACATTTTAAATACAAAAAAACATAAAAAGGGGACTTTTAAATCCATTTTTTTATATACTAGTATATTTATACTTAAATATACATACTTCATAAGTTTTGGGAGCTGGTCACTCAAAACTAAACTTTTACCGTTAATTTTTAACGATGGCGCCACGAACAACGATCGAGCAAAGGGAATTAGTCCTAAAACTAGTGCGAAAAGTGAAAGAAATACCCAAGCTATCGGCTCCAAAGCTGCAGAGGTAGAGAAGGAATTGGGCAAAAAATGTTGCCCAGACACAATCCGCAACGTGCTTCACAACTACAACTTAAACGGTCGAGTAGCTAGAAAGAAACCGTTTATCAGTAGGAAAAACATGGTTGAACGTGTCAGGTTCGTGAAGATGGAAATTCATCCGATTTTCTTCTGGAATGATGTGATTATTGCGGACGAATCCAAGTTCAACCTTTTCGGGTCCGATGGCAGGCAATATGTTTGGCGGCGTGCGAATGCAGAGCTTGAACCTAAAAACCTTAAACCTACGATCAAGCACGGAGGTGGCCATGTTATGGTTTGGGCCTGTATAGCTGCTTCTGGAGTCGGAAACTTGGTTTTCATTGATGGCATTATGGATGCTAAGGTGTACCTCACCATACTAAAAAAAAATTTACAACAAAGCGCTGAAAACTTGGGTATACTGGACCGATTTCGATTTTATCAAGATAATGACCCCAAGCACCCTGCGTGCATTGTGAAGCGTTGGTTGGTCTAAAACTGCCCACACATCATAAAAACACCAGCACAGTCTCCAGACCTTAACGTCATTGAGAACTTGTGGGAGATTTTGGACCAGGCGATTCGAAAAAGAAAAATAACAAACAAAAATGAGCTGAAGACTGCCTAACTGGAGGAATGGAGGATAATTCCTGTTGAAACCACAAAAAATTTGTCGAATCTATGGGAAACCGTTTGAAAGCAGTCAAAAATCAAAAGGGAGGCCCGACCAAATATTAGATTTAAGATGTAAACATTAAAATAGTATATAATAATAGCTTTAAATGTTTGCACGAAATAAGCTTCGACGCCAGAAATGCCTTGTTTTTTTATTTTTATATGAAAAGTTGTTTTGTTATTGTAGATTAGTAAATTTTCTTTGTCATATTAGTTAATAAAGAGTTTATTCGAATTACTGCGTTTATTGATTTGAAATTTCATTTTGCTCTTGCACGAAATAAGCTTCTAGCCACTGTAGACAAAACGGTTTTTGACATTGACAGAATGGATATTGATGCTGACGAATTGGCAAAGGATGCTCTGGAGTATATAGCAGGTTACATAATAAAAAAAATTAAATATTAACAACGAGACCAACGAGACTTCAATCATTTGAAGTTTCGCGTGGTGGCCTCATCCAATTAATTTTTGAACGGAATCAAACAAATGTAAATTAATTTTCTTTTAAAAAAACTAATTGTAAAAAATAATGTTAGAGATAAACTGTTGCTGAGCATTTAGAAATAAGGTTAGATATACAAAAATTGTATTTTAAAATTCGCATTTTTTTTAAAATTAACTAGTGTTTAAAGAACAATGGTATCAAACTCTTATGGACTTTCACCAGTGGCATATTAAGTATTTTTTGTCATACAACCCGGTAAATTGGCATTTTTCGTACCTGTATTCCGTGCGGTAAATCGATGATTTCAGCTATTTACCGTAACCCGTGCGTAATCGGCAGTTTTGCACTCAAAATGCCAAATTTAACGGTTTTATGGACAAAAAGCACCGTGTGTATCTCTTACGGTAAATACGAGATCACACTCGTGTATAGCTGCCCTCTCTGCGCTCGGGCGCTAACTTCACGAGTGTAATCTCGTTCTTACCGCACTAGATACACAAGGTACTATTATGTCTTAGAACCCCTAAAATTGGAATTTTTCGTGCCTGTATTCCGTGCGGTAAATCGCTGATTGCAGCTGTTTTTCAGGGATGCATGCGTAAGAAACTTTACCAAACCATAACCCGTTCGTAATCGCTTTTACAGGCAGTTTTGCACGAGATTTCCGAATGAAAAGGCAACAAAAAAAGCTAGAGAGTAAAGTAACGGTGAACCGGAACCGACACATGATGGCCGAACTCCCACCCGAGGTCGAGAGCATGGTCCTGGACTGGCTGCCAGATGGAGGCGATCCAGCTGCTCCATTAGTGCAGGACGCGGGCGAAATCAGACTAGTCCCCCCGGAGGGATGGACTTGTGACAAACCAGATGGGAGAATCCCCGCCAACATCGCAGAAGTCATCCAAACCCGAGCGCTACAGGCCAGGTCCCGGCAGCGGTACCGTCTCCAACGCCCAGAGGAAGCTACCGGGTCACCAGCCGAACAAATGGCTCCATCTCCATCCTTTTCGACCCCCCGAAGTGGGAAGGGGGTGTGACGCCTCATTCAAAGAGGCGAACATATTTACCTTTTGTTTCTTTTTTTTTTTTTTTATATTGTTCTTAGTTTTATTCCATTAGTCATGTAAGAGAAATGCCAATGAAGTATTGTGTTATTATAGTTCTAAGTAATCATTATATAAACAAGATTGAAATTTAAGCTTGAACAATGTTGCCATTTACTTCGCGCCCTGACCAACGTTGCCATTTACGGCACTACCGATCAATACGCTGACGGTTGACACGTTGCCAGATCGCAAGACCTTGCCAGATCGCGACGCTGTCAAAATCACCACGTTGACAGCCTGGACAGAGGATCGAGATCGCAACTCGACCTCTTCCTTTCCGGTCAGCCGTAGCGAGCAGAAATCGACCTCTTAGATCCCGGTCACCCATAGCAAGCAGTTGTGTGCTCCACAACTCGAGCTTTTTCGGCCACCGGTCAGCCGCAGAGAGCAGACATACGCTCCGCAACCAGGTAAAACCGAATCACGCGTGTCGAGAACCAACGCGCGCTACAGCCACCGCGGCTTAAATAATAAGTTATCGGTGCAGCAGCAGGGAAACAAGCCACGACATTTCCTGGTTAATCCAGAGAACGTCAGCGTACCCCTGTTGGATTTATATCCCGTTCCCGTGCCCGTAACTAGTATTCCTGGGCCCTCCCGGACACGCTCACGCGATCCCTACTCTTACGTACCAAGCAATAGTTCCGGTACAGCCAGGTGCCTCACAGGCACGTGGGAGCTCCACCTCCCGCTCCCTTCTCCTCTAGCTAACGGCGCAGAGCCCGGCAAAGGGGGGCGCAGCGTGTCCAAAAACCGGAGTACAATTGATCCAAAACCCGCGCTCGACAATTCCTTTTATAAACAATTTCCCATGTAAATTACAAATTTCTTGTGAGGATCTCTTGCACGACTGAGGTCTATCCCGGCCTGAGAAGCGTCGTTACAGCTTTGAGGTCTGATCTTGGTTCCGCAGCTAAGTTAAACAAATCAAAATTAAAGTAAACATCAGCTTCCGTTCGAAGCGCAATCAATTGCATCGTTTGAGTTTCAAGTTCCCACCAAATTGCATAGGTCAGCATAATTTAGTTTCACAAACTTAAACTTTGTTCAGCTTTTATTCTAAACAAAAATTAGAATTCGAAAAACTCAAATAAGAAAAGCTCCTGGCCGAGGTTTATTGGAGCTGATTAAAAAAATAAAAAGTAATCCTATTTAGATAGGCATCGCAATCGGTTATCTGAGTTAAGCAAGGGTCTTGTAAAAAGTTGTATTTAAAGATAAGATGTTTAACACCAAAATAATTGACGATCCTTTGACCTCCATCTCTAGGTTTGTCCACTAGTATGAATGTGTTTCTTCCTGTTCAATACTTGAATCTTCTTTTCCTCATCTCATACTTTGTATAATAAAATGTGTAAGAAGTATTCAAAGCGTAGGTATATATGAGTGTGGTAGAGATAAGCTAAATTCATAAAATCTTATGCGAACTTACTCAAACATGTTTGTACATTGTTAATTTCGGTTGGCTTTGTTTCACATATGTAACACGTTGCCGAGGACGATTGACTGCGTTGTACACCTTTCCATTTACCCTAGAAAGACGCAATCTATGCGCAATGAACATTTTTTTTTATTAGAGACGCTTAACTCTTTTGGCTTTAATTGTTTAATTTTTGCGTCAAAATATTCTGTTTCGTCTTTCTTAAATTGAAATCTGATTGGTCGACAGTAACGAGTCATTGATGGCCGGGGGTTTTCCCAAATTATTGTGTTATCTTTTTGAGTAGCCAGTTGGAGAGGTACGTAGGATATTACAAATAAGCTTCTGTCGTTCAAATCACTGTTTGAAAACGTTTGCTTATACTCGCTATGCCCAATACTTCCATCAAAGCCTCATTTTAATATTAAGGGGAGGTTCTTTTCTTTTTTTCGAAAATTAAGCAAACTTTGAGAATTAATTGCGGAAAAATGAAAAGACATACGAACTTATGCTTTTGAACTTTTGATTCGTTGTTTATTAACGATTAAAAAAAAATCAATATTCAGGAAATTCAAAATGGCGGCTTCAAAATGGCGGATCTCGTAGACCTCTATTTTTCTGCTTTGTCGAGTGTCGGGCCGCTGGTAGTGAACCGAAATTAAAAATGTAAATTATTTATTAAAATTGATGGAATTTCCAATGCCTTATACCTAACTAGAATCAATTTTGGTAAAAATAAACCAATTTTATGGACATTTAAAAAAAATGGACTTTTTTTTTTTACTTCGATCTCGTTTAAAAATTATAAGTAAACAATTTTTTATGCCAATTTTAGGTATAAGGCATACAAAAAAGTATATACTTTCAAAAATTTTTTGAATGAAGGAAATCGGATCAATAGAACGACCCCTGTGCGCGACAAGAGGTTTGAAAACATGGTTCCGAGAAAAACGCGTTTAAAGTTTTTAGAGCGTACCACAGCGCATGTGACATGGGTATGTTTGACATGCTCTAGCTCAAGAAATACGCGTCGTATCGAAATATCCTTTGGCACGTATATTCTAAACATATGTAACTTTCATTTTATTAAAAAAAAAAAATTCGATTTTTTCAAGAAAAAAGAAAAGAACCTCCCCTTAAGATAAATTCTTAACGATATTTTCAGGAATAGTTTCAAATATGTTGGTTTGAAGCTCTATTATACTAGATGTCGTAATGTCTAGTAAACTCTGTAATTCGACTTCAGCACAATATTCGTCTATATGAATACAACCAGGGTATTTATTTTTTTTTTTAATTAGTACTCTTTGATAACTGGGAAACAATTCAAAGGATATTTTACTACATATTTACAAAGTTTCTTATCAGCATATATTGGTGTTTCCTTATGGGAGTTTCCATTAAATGCGAAATAACTTGCATGGGATCTGATGGTAGAAAATTTTTCAAGGCTTTATGGAAAAAACGATGTCATTTAATTTTGGTGATGTGCTGCATTTGAGTTAGCTCTGGCTGCAAAAACAGCAGATACAAATGATGAACGTCGTCATTTAGTAATTTATGCAACGTTTGTGCCTTGAAACATTTTTCATTTGTTGCAGCATTGTTAAAGTGAAGTTCTAGCTCAATCCATTGCTTCAGAATTCGCGTAACCGCAACTTCAATAGACAGCCACCTTGTGTCGCAAACTCGAAAAATTTTAAGAGGGACCTAAAAAAAAATGGATGTTATTTATGTACAAAAAAAGTAATATAAATATAAACATAGAGTACAATACCACAATATACTACCTTGATCAAAAAGTTCCCGACTTTTCCACCGTGTGGCGCTCCCAGTCAAACGATTTCAATAAATTTTTTTCCCAGAGTGGCAGAACTGTTCTTTATATTCCCACAAATTTTCAGCGTCATCGATTGACAGTTGTCAAAGTTACGTTGTGTTGTTTACATTAAGCTTTGGACGTATCTTCGATTTTTCCATGATCTCATATCGGCTGCCGTAACGCGTTCCGCGGAGCGGTTTTTTAAGTCGACTGAACAGGTAAGAGTCGCAGGAACCCAAATCCGGTGAATTCGGTGGTTGTTGGGTCGGATTCAGCCTTGGAAATCATGTCTTTGGCGACCTCAACGCGATCCATTTTTTGTATGAAACTCAGTTCTTTTGGCACCAACTTTGCAGCGACGCGTCTGAAACCCAAATCATTAGCCAAAATATCTTGAACGGTTGCAAAAGCAATGTCCAACTCCTCTGCCATCTCTCTAATAGTCAATTTGCTGCTTATGGCCATCCAGTCTTTGATTTTGCCGATGTTTTCGTCCGTTTTCGAAGTGGATGGCCTGTCAGAACGGTCATCATCGTTGATGGAATTACGGCCACTTTTGAACCGTCCATGCCACTCGCGAACTGTTGTTAGTTTCAAAGCATTGTCACCGAAACACTTCTCAAACATTTCCAAAGAGGTCGGAACACTAATTTCATTTTTAACACAAAATTTAATGCAAATTCGTTGCTCTTGTTTTCTATCCATTTTTTAAAATCAAAAAAATCGAAGATACGTCCAAAGCTTAATGTAAACAACACAACGTAACTTTGACAACTGTCAATTGATGACGCTGAAAATTGGTAGGAATATAAAGAACAGTTCTACCAATCTGGGAAAAAAAATTTATTGAAATCGTTTGACTGGGAGCGCCACACGGTGGAAAAGTCGGGAACTTTTTGATCAAGGTAGTATACAGACTACAGACACACGCAAGTTAATTAGATCTCGACAGACCAAAATGTTAAAGTCGAACAATACAAACACGTAGGTCGTTTTACCTGTTCGCATTACCTCTTCTGCGTTAATAAGCTGATACATTTTTTTGTATTCTGATTGCCTTTTTGCTCTTTTAGAAAACAAATTATACGTTTCGTAAACAATATACTCTAAGGCCTCAGGTAAATAATGTTTTCAGGCACTGTTGACAGCCAATTGTAGTGAATGGCATGCACATTTAATTAAAATAAGGGAAGGAACTCGTTTTCTTAATTCCGTGCAAACACTTTGCTTACAACCAACCTTTACACTTGCGTTGTCCGTGCCGATCCCAATCAAATTCTCCAGGTTTAATTTGAAATTGCTTAGTTCCTGGCAGAGGCTGTTCGCAATTGTTTTCGCGTCGCCCTCCTCGAGCGGAACTATGGATAAAAATGTGCTCCGTGTTAAACTAAAGTAGTTTATGACAACACCTATGTACATATATAGAATATATTTAATTGGGTTCTATGATGATTAGCTTTTTAACTCACCAAGTGTCTTGCATACACTAATATCTGTACTCTCATCAAGCAACAAGCTGTACTTGGCATCACCGATGTCCGGCTTTAGTAGGGTTATAAAGCTTGGAGCCAAAATATTTTTTATAACACTTGTGCACTTTGATCTATGCAGCTTCATAGCACCGCCATCCTGAAAATTATTTCCGCACAGCAATCCCAAATGGTCAATGGGGCTGACGGCTGAGTGCGTGGCAATATACAAACACAGTGCCGCCTCTTTCTGGGAGGTTTTCATAGAGACAGATGAAACAATTGTTATTTTGTTTGTCTGTGAAAAAGAAGATGCCGAAGACTTGTGTTTTGTAGTCTTGGCATGTGCCTGCAAATCGCAAAGCTTTGCATTAATGCTCGATTTGCAATATTTGCAAAAACATTTGAGATCATCGGATGGATCTAAAGTCAACCAATCCTTAAACGCAGGGTCTTGCATCCAGGCGTGACGCGGTTTTTGCTTATAAATTTTCGGCATTTTAAAGCTCACACGCGGTCGATGCGAAAGCTGTGAAATAGGGTTGTGAATAATATATCAAAATATCAATATATCGATATTTTTTTGCCAAAAATAAATATTTATATCATGATATTTTTTCACGTGATATATCGAATATCGCGATTTTTTTTTGATATATTTTTGATATTTTCTAATTGGTCACTCTGATTGAAATACTCGGTAAAAAAAGAACTGAGCGCGGCTAAAAGCTATTTTTCGGAGATTCAAAATCACACAGCAACCTGCAACATTTGCAGTAAAGTTGTAAAAACGAGCGGCAACTCGTCAAACTTGCTCTCTCACCTGAGAAACAGGCATCGGGATGCTTATCTCAAGTGCACAAAGGTAATTAAATCATATAAAGTGGCATGTGTGTATTTCCCCGAAATTTCGTGTGTTTGATTTTTTTTCCCGCGAATTCCGTGTACGTGATTTCATTTGCTCTAGTTTGTGTGGGTTTTTTCCCGTAAATTTCGTGTAAGTGGTCTGATTTTCTCTAGTGTGTGAGGCTTTTTTCCCGCAAATTTCGTGTTAGTGGTTTGATTTCAGTTAAAATCTGAAAAAGGCACAATTGTATGCAGATGCATATGTTGATATACACATATATTTATGTATACTATATATATACACATATAAATATAATTTAAAATAATTCTACTTTTATTATATTTTCAGAAACCGACAAAAGTTGACCAGCTCAACAGAAGCATTGAGCAAATGTCCATCGAGAACGCATTTAAGTCTTCGTCAACTTCTAAAGGTAAATTGTTGTAAATATTACGTTTATTATAAATTAATTAAAAATTATTTGTTTTTTCTTTTAAGAAAAACATGATGATATCACAGAAGCGATCGTTTTTATGATCTGTAAGGACAATTTGCCTGTCCGGACCGTTGAAAAAGAAGGATTTACCAACTTCATAAATAAATGTGTACCGAAATACAAAATCCCAAGCCGGTTCCAGGTAAATTTTTCGAATTTCATATATAATTATATTTGATTTTTTAACCGTTAACATCATTTTTACAGGTAACTAATATGATTGAAGCTAAGTACGACCGCTGCGTCTCTAGAATGAAGACCATTCTCCAAAATGTTAATGACTTTGCGTTCACCTGTGACGGTGTAACAGTAACTAATTCGACAAGATCATACTTAACAGTCACAGCTCATTTTATTCAAAATAACTGTCTACAATCCGTTTGCTTGCAAGCAGTAAGAATGAATCAGGTAAGCGTTTAAATTTTTTTTTTTTATGTTATGTTATGTTGTGTTTCGTCAAGTGTCCATGTGTCTGTGTTTTCTTCGTATACAAAAATGTGATTAGGGACGTTTCTTGTGCTCTGTTGTCATCTTGTCATGTCATCTTTGTACAAATTAAGAAAAATATTTAATTTAAATATTACCTTTAATTTAATGCAGTCACATACTAGCGAGTACATATGTGGCTTACTCAAGGGGGTGTGCGTTGAATTTGACATTGATCAGTCGAAGTGGCGTTCGTTAACCACAGACAACGCAAATAACATGAAGGCAGCGTCAAATTTATTTTTGGGACACAGCAAACACGTCTCATGCTTTGCACACACCATACATTTGGTGGTGGACGATGTGGTGACTATTCCATCTTTTTCAAAAGTTTTTGTTAAGGTCAAAAAAATTGTAATGCATTTTAAGCACAGCTCAGCAGCAATGGACATGTTGCGCAAATTGCAGGCCGACGAAGGAGTACCAGAAGGTCGAATAAAAACTCTCGTCCAAAGTGTGGACACACGATGGAACTCATGTCTGGATATGCTAATTTCTTTTCTAAGCGTATCAAATAAAGTGGCGATGGTCCTAATAAGTAGGTAAAATTCTGTAAAAGGATTGCCAGAGATGCTTACGTCTTCCGAAGTGGAGATATGTAAAGATTTTTGTGACCTGCTTACACCTTTCAAAGATGCGACCGAGAAAATAAGTGGCGAAAATTACGTCACCGTGAGCTTGGTAATCCTACTAATATCGTTATTACTGGACAAAGTTCCGTCGGCCGACGGAATTTTGACAAAAGATGCGCTATTAAAGGAAGCAGAGAAAAGATTCAACATTTTACAAAACAACAAGATTCTTGTAAAATCGACTTTCTTGGACCCAAGGCTCAAGAAAGTTTACCTTGCACCTCTTACAGCCCTTGAAGCTGTCAAGGACATTACATTTGAAATAACTGAAAATAAAACTTTTGAAAAAGTACGTAAAATTAAGTTGTCACCGGCATTAACACCATTATAAAATACCTCTTAGTAACACTTTCTATTTTTAATTCTTTTATAAAATAATACGAAATATAAAATAGTTTAATATTTTAATATTTATATCTTAAACCATATCTTTATTTTCAACTAAAAATATTGAAACTAACTTATACAGGCAGGCTCCGGTTTTCATTTTCACAAGATTCTCTCGTTTTCGTTTTCAAAAACGAAAATTGGTGCTCCGGTTTTCACTTTCACAAGAATTGTTCGTTTTCAAAAACGGTCAAGTTTTTTTTGTCGAAACTAAAAGTAAATGCCTTTTTCTACATCAAATCGGTTCTTAATTGCAAAAGGAAAAAAATAGTTGATTCCTTGGTCTATTGATGTTCATTTCCCACCATCAGTAGATCAATCTAATTCGTATTTATTTTTTAAATAGTTATTTTCTGACCCCTTCTTGATTTCATAAAAAAATATTTGCCGTCTGCAACAACAAATTTCGTTTTGCTCAGGGGTCGATAAATCTATTGCCCAAAGTTATCGTCAATGCTGCCGTACTTGTAGTGGAACGAAACAACCACTTAAAAATACTTATAAAATGAAAACGAAGAAAAAAATATTTGTAAAGAAAAGTTAAATAAGCTTTTTATAAATAAATATGATTAATTTAGTTTCTTAAATGGCAAAAGTGCAGTAAAAAAGTGGTTGAGAATAGTGGAATGAAAGCTGCAAAAAAGGTGGCAGCCCCTTATTGTGGGAAACAGCTGAATTCTGATGGAGGCTAATTTGAACTTTTGAAAATGTAAGTAAGACAACTTAATTTACCGATCGTCAGACATATTAAAAACACATGTGTTGCATCTAAGATGTCTCGATTTTCTTAAATCAATCAATTTCTGCCTTCTTTTGTCTTCAAAACAGGCTATTGAAAATGTAAAAGGCATTGTTTCGCGTTGTTTACTTTTGACCAAAAAAAGTCAGCTGTTTGAACCATTCCGATAACGAAACGATGACAAAAAGTTTGTGAAAACCGGAGCACCAAAAACGAAAACGTACGTTTTCGCCCAAAAACGAAAACGAGAAAAAAAAAGTGAAAACCGGAGCCTGCCTGATAATTCCATGTATTTTTAGGATTCACGGTTCCTTGCAAACACGGTAGAAGAAGCAACCGATTATAAAAATGAAGGATTCCTGGAGGCGCATATGAGATCCATTGCAACGCGCCAACCCTTGGAAGCCACGGAAAACGAGGAAATCAAATGGTTTTTGGGTCTCCCATTTACTTCTTGGGATAGCGACCCGATCGCATTTTGGACATCACAGTCAGAAACATTGCCAGGGCTTTCAAAGCTGGCATTGGGCTACCTTATCACACCAGGTAGCTCCGTACCATCAGAAAGGTCGGCCTCCGCCATAAAATGTGTGGTATGTGACACCCGAAGCCGCATAACGGACCTTCACGTCACACAACGCGTGTTTTTAAAATCTTTAAAAAAAGAATATTGGTATTGAGTTCTTGTTAATAATAAAAAAATATCAAAAATACTTGATATATGGATATTTTTGGGTGATAAATATTTTTATCAATTTAATATATTTTTAAAAAAGGATATATCACTGATACGATATTTTTTACATATCATCACAACCCTTATTTCGAGTCACATTGAGCAACATCCGAGGTGCACGGCGACTCATGTCAGCGTCATCGATCAAGAACCGATATGCACAGCGACTAATATCAGCGTCATCGATCAAAAATCGATAAACACATCGACTCATGTCGGGGTCATTGACTTTGCAGAAGACTACGAGAAAATTCGACGTGATATGTTATATGTAGGGGAATGTTGTCAGGGTTGGGCCATCTCAATATTTTGAATATTCGTTCTAGTACCATCTGTTAGTGGGTATCTAGAAACTTCTATCGGTCACTCGAAACTTTCCACGTGACAACTTATTTCGGGATTTCATTTTTCTACGTGCCGTTGTTCTGTGAAAAAAAGTGCTCGAAAAAGCTTTTTAACCTGGCCGAAAAGGTGGAATAACACAAGATTACAACATGTAATCCGCAAAGTGAGCATAAAAATACGTTATATAGGTGTTATATTACAAAATACTAAGATATAGTTTCATTGTTAAATATAGTTTGGCTATATTATACCATAATAGACTAATACCGCATGTCGTCAGGGTTGGGCCACTCTTGTAGTCAGGCTTGGGCCATCATAATTTTTACATTTTACTCGTGTATTTTCGATTTTTGTTGTAATATTTAAGTTTTTGGTAGCAAAAATATGCAAAATAAATTAAATAGATATCCTTAAAAAAATATTTCGATGGATTGAAAGAAGATGAATCATTTTTATCTTTTTTCCTTAGTGTTTCTCGCTACAAACGAAAAACAACTCTGAATAATTTGATATTTACTGTAAAATCCCTAATAATTAAATTAATGAACAAAATAATATCAGATTTACCTGAATTCAATTTTATTCCACCAGGTTACGATATTGTCAACTCTCTCTCTCTATTTTTGGTGAACACTTCCTCTCGCTTGTACCTTTCCAAAAATGTATAAACTTATTCTAAATTGTCATTCGTTCAGAACTTATAGACATAGGTCAAAATATGGCCCAACCCTGACAACATTCCCCTACAGTGAAAAAGGCAAAGAAATGATCATACTAGACAAATATAAGTTTCGAAACTGTTACAAACTTCGATCTGGGGAAATTGCAATGCCAAAGTATTCACAATGTACAGTGGTTCGGCTTGTATGGAGCCGCGGCCATAAATACTTTTTGTTGTTATATTGTTATAAAACTATCCCCAAAATTTAAAAAAAAATAATAAAAATCTATATATATATAAGCAATGGATTCCGACCGATCAAAATCCGATTCAGAGTCGCCCAAACCTGCTACAGGTCCACGAAAGTCAGTTTTCAATAATTTTTTTCCAAATACATAAATATATTTCGAATCAAAATTTTTTTGATGTGCCTCACGTGTACAAAACCTGCAACTGACTTTAATTTTATTTCGCAGACGAAAACAAATTCTCTTGTTGATATTGCTCAAAATTTATTATTTTTCAGAGTTGAACAAAAAAATGTGAAGACATGGGAAAATAAGTATAAGTAGATTCAGGAGAGCAATGCAGCTAAGTGTTGAAATTTACATGTTAAAAAAATATTTTTTTTAATTTGTATCAACAAAGGACACACTTTTTTCGATTGCAAGTTATGCACTCAGGATGGGATTACTGCTGTCAAGAAACACGAAAGGACATTAAAGCATAAGATGTCGGCGAAAACGGTGAGGAGCACCAGAAACATATTTGCTTCTTGTAAGGAGGCTGTCAATTTGAGCCAGCAGGTGAAAGAGTTGGAGCTAAAAGTTGCAATGTTCATTGTAAGCAAAAATCTTCCCATAAGTATTTCTGGCGATTTGATCGAATGGATCAAAAACATGGAGTTTGGCAAAGAGGTCCGACAAAAGGCCACATGTGACCGAACGAAATGAACCATGTTGATCCGAAATGTGATTGGAGAATACGAGTCAACTGTTTGGTTTATGAAGGCCAGGTTTTCTCCTTAATTATTGACGAGTCAACTGATATTTCGGCTTGCAAACATATCGTCATGTGCATCAGGATGGACACAGAAGAAGGCATTAGAGATGAATTTTTGGGTCTTTTAAGGGGTTATAAACCTTTCTGAGCGAAAAAATTGAGGGAACTTTGGATTTTTTTTCAGGTGTGTAGCAATTATTTTATGATACTGAGGTTATTATTTATTGATAGTACATGTTTTTATAGACACAACAATCGATTGTTCTTAAAAAAAATATAAATAACTTTCGAAGTTATGGAAATTCTCTCATAACCCTTTTTTTTTATAGCGGCTTGCGGTGACCACGATGGAAGTCCAGCGGGTCAACTGAAATCAATAAACCAAAAATTTTTTATTAGTTTAGTATTATTTCTAGTTCGTCATTGAATTACTTCAAGAATATTTGGTTTTTTCTGCATACAGTAACAATTTTTCCAAAAAGTTGATTTTTCGAGTTCTAAAAATTTTATTAAAAAATTCTTATCTGCAAAATCGAAATTGGCGCATAAAAACTGAATCAATGACGAACTCGGCACAATCATTACGAATATTTAAAAAAAAAAATTGAAGAAGATCGATCAAATAGTTCTTGTGCAATCGCGGTCACAGCAAAGGCACTTTTGGAAAAAAACGACTTTGAGATAATCGCATTCAAAGTTTTACGTTGCGTTACAAAGAGTGACGTATCGCGCCTCAAAACGCTGTTTTCCTATCGAACTATTATTCGGATCTCTTCAAAAAATTTGGGATAATGTTCTCTAGGGTATATACTTTAGGATTCAGCAAAAAAATTTCCTTTTTTTTTTTTAAAAAAAAGAAGGTATATAACCCCTTAAAGGTTTGTAATTATAGAACTACTTGTACTTCTCGAACTTTCTCTTTAAAATTTTTGGGTAGGTCCTAAAATCGGACTCCGATTCGTTTTATCAACTAATAGTCGACTTTTACAAAGAGCACGACATCCCTTATAAATCGAATATGGTCGAATTCGGCAGCGATGGAGCTAGTGTGTTGTTGGACATCCCAACCTTGTTCACGACGAATTGCATCTGCCATTCCCTCGCCACAGCTGTATCCTACGCTCTGCAGGAAATTCCAACAGAGTACGAAAAGCTGCTTTCTGACACATATTCCTATTTAAAGCATAGCAGCAATAAAAATAGCTTTGGGTGAGTGCCAGAAATTACTGGGAATCCCAGAGCGACATATGTATACAAAAAGTGTTTGAGATTCGGTGGCTATCTCTGCAGTCTGAAAAAAATGGTTGCCTTTACGAAAAATCTATCTTGGGCCCATTGTTTCTGCCGAATTGGCGTATTTCTTGACCACAGTCCCGTCTGCCAAAATATAATTTTTTCGTGAAAACTGACGGTTTTTGATAACTCTTGCCAAGGAAATATACAGGCAGGCTCCTGTTTTCACTTTTTTTTTCGTTTTCATTTTTGGGCGAAAACGTACGTTTTAGGTGCTCCGGTTTTCACAAACTTTTTGTCATCGTTTCGTTATCGGAATGTTTCATTTTTTCATCGTTTCTCACTGTTCAAACAGCTGACTTGTTTTTTGGTCAAAAGTAAACAGCGCGAAAAAATGCCTTTTTTATATTTTCAATTGCCTGTTTTGAAGCCATTTAAGAAACGAAATTAATCATATTTATTTCTAAAAAGCTTATTTAACTTTTCTTTAAAAATATTCTTTTCTTCGTTTTCATTTTATCAGTATTTTTAAGTGGTTGTTTGGTTCCACTACAAGTACGGCAGCATTGACGATAACTTTTGGCAATAGATTTATCGACCCCTTAGCAAAACGAAAGTTGTTGTTGCCGACGGCAAATATTTTATTTATGAAATCAAGATGGGGTCAGAAAAGAATTATTTAAAAAGAAAATACGAATTAGATTGATCTACTGATGGTGTGAAATAAACATCAATAGACCAAGGAGACAACTATTTTTTTCCTTTTGCCAGGGGTGGACGCAGGGGGGTGTCCGGGGGGTCCGGACCCCTCCCAAAAACCCAGACTTTTTCAAATTCCCTTACAGCACACGGTCTTTCAACCATGTAAACTAAAAAAATTTTTGATCGGACCCCCCCAAAATTTTTTCTGCGTCCGCCCCTGGGGGAAATGCTCAAAAACAGCGAGGTGGACCCAAAAAAACAGCCGCCAGAGCTGCCGCCACGAAAGATAAGCGCCAATACCACACCTGCTCCGCTCTCGCCACAGCTGCAGTCAAATGGAAGACGATTTCAAGAAAGTCCTAAAGAAAAGCGACGCATAATGACTGTGACTTCCACGACAACAACAACGGTGATCAGCTTCAACGGCAGCGATTCTGAAATGGAGTGCATTGCAGTGGAGGATATTGGCAATCATAACTACTTGCCACAGCAGCAGCAGTCGGGCCCAAAAACAAAGCTGGAGGCACCATCCCAAAGCCAATTGCAGAGAGTTTTTTATTAAATTAAACAATGAAAAACAAACCAATTATAAATTTCATGTTTCATTTTACTTATTTAGTACAGTCACTGCATATTTCTGTAGAATAAAATATCAGATATAAATATTTATTTTTACTCAAAAAATATCGATATATTGATATTTTGATATATTTTTCACATCCCTAATACACAGCTTGCAGTTATTCCACGAAGGCAGTTGTGCTTCTTTCCTTACCTATATTTTGCGCAAGCATTTTCAAAAAATAACTCGTGTAGTATGCTCACATATCGGGTACACACTGTACCACTTATGTATATCACTGCAACATTGTGGCGTTTGGTTATGGCCAAATATTCCCAGCACTTCAAGTGCGGAGTAATCCGATCCACACAACAATGTTATGAACATCCTAAATGCTGAGCCGGCATGTCTGCATGCGCGGCCGATCATTCGTTTACAGTGTGAGCATAACACTCTCCCTCTCATGCGCGCCCGCTGCTTGCGCCGTATACACTTATGCATAAGCGTTGACCGCTGCTCTGCAGCGGCACACATATATTAATATACATGTTTATATACAATAACGTTCGGCCGCGGCGCTGCTCGCGCAGCTATATGAATTGTGAGCCAAGGCCAATATTTCTTAAGTAAGGGGAGAATAAAATCGGATGTTCTTGGAGTAGGACCTAGCCTGCTCCAGCTCTCAATAAATATTTTAAACCGAAATAACTTTGTAATTATTAATTAATGGGGATCTTTCACTACATGGCGACCGTGACATAGTCACAATCTTCGGACGTGTTTAAAAAAAAAAAGCCAAGCGCGCGGTATCTGAAACCAAGTTCCCTGTGTATATCAAATATTCATATACAGTGCCCAAAACATTTATTCGTACACCCTATATTTTGAACCTCAAGTATCTGAAACTTGATTTATATTAAAAAACAACGGCGTAACCAAGAATACAAAGCTAAGTGGAAGTTATGGAAAAATAAAACAATTGAAGTGTTAATCACAAATATTCAAATATCAAATATAAAAAAAAAAAAAAAATTCCTTTTAAATAAATAAACAAATAAAAAAAAAATATTTACGAGCCTGTGCGATGACCAGCACCGGCGCCGCCTGAGTCAAAAGGCCCAATAATAATAATAAAAAAAAAAAATATATATATAAAAATATATATACAATCATCAGCAATAAACCTGTGCGATGACCGGCACCGGTACCGCTGACCGTTCCTAGGCAGCTATATATCAAAAGCGCGGGAGGCATTGGACCGCCCCCTGTGCCGCCGGTGGAAATTATATTAAAAGCGCGGGAGGCATAGGACCGCCTCCTGTGCCGCCGTTGGGAGCTATATCAAAAGTGTGGGAGGCATGGCAAAGCCCCCTGCACCAACGCTGGAAGGTAACCAAAAGTGTGGGTGGCATGGCAAAGCCCCCTACACCACCGATGGAAGAAGAAAGCTGCACTAAAAGCGCGGGAGGCTTTGGACCGCCCCCTGTGCCACCGCTGGAGAAAAAAAAAAAAAAAAAAAAAAAAACGCGGGATGCTTTGGACCGCCCCCTGTGCCGTCGCCGGAAGAAGAGGAGAAGATAAATAAAAAAAAAAAATTTTTTTTTTTTGAAACAATATATATTATGTACATAGTTTATAAGTAAATCCCAATTTGGCACAAGGCGTAGTTTTACGCAAGTCTTATTGGTAAAATTAAGAACTAACAAAAACAACTTCCCAACCATGTACTAACACACAACTTTTGGTGTAAACTTATAATAAGAAAAACTTTTGTAACTTGAATATTACTAATATGTAAACCAAAAGTTGTGCATGCACTTAACCACATAATTCCAATATTCAACAAATGCGATTATTATGAAATTATGTGAATTCCATGAGTCATGTTTATATTTCGTTTGATATTCTTTTTATTATTGATCCAAACTCCTTAGAGTTCAGGACAAAGCACTCACTATCCTGTAAAAATTCCTACTGACAAAATCGCAATAAAAAAAAAAAAATGATGAAATATTGCTGTGGTTAACCAAACC